GTCCTGCGGGTCGAACCCGGGGGCCGGGGACAGAGAGAGAGCGGACCGGGGAGACGGCACCAGCCCCGCTGCCACGCTGCACAGACAGTGAGTCCGGTCCCGGTTCCCCTCGCGCTCGGCCCTGCAGAGCCCCCGCCGTACGCACCCTGCCCGCTGGTGTCCGGCCTAGGCGACCCTCAGGACCGGCCCGCGGCTCGTTTCCAGCTCTGGGTGGGGGTGACGCGGCGAAGCGCGTCCTCAGGGGGTCAGAATGTGACCCCGCCTTCCTGTCCAGAAACGGGCAGCTGTCGGCTCCTGACAGACCGCCTGCACCAGCGGTCATGAGGCCCTCCGGCCAGGTGCTGCAGTGTTTGTGTCCTCTCTGATGCCTGCTGCGTGTTTTCACGGTCAAGGCTGCTCATTTTAATACGGCGGGGGCTCTTGTGCAGGTGGCCGGGACGGTGTTGTCGTTGTTGCTCTGTGAGGTCGAATGCATTCGTTACTGCTCGGGGGCTGGAGCTCGATCTGAAAGTTAAAGGGCTACATTTTTTGTGTGCGTAGTTTGTGCACCTCGCTCGATCTGTGGGGAACCCCACATATTGGTGCCCTCATGAGGCAGCCGAGCTTGCAGGGAGGACATGTAGCTAGAGAGCGCCTCCTGCTGGTCAGAAGAGGCAGGGCAGCTGAGTGGCACAATAAGCAGCATATCGCCTGATTCACCACCCCTTGCAGGCTGGTCTGGCCCCGGGGTGAAGTCCGCAGAGCCGTGGAGCAGAGTTCAGATGCTGGGGAAAACATTTGTGTGTGGTAGGAAAGGCTTGCGCTGTTGCAGGGCACAGTTAGAGATCAAAGGGGCAGAAATCACACTCCTGTTGTGCAGCTGATTGTTCCAAGTGCAGGTCCCTGGGGCTACAAGCTCTTGCACAAGTGAGCGAAGCACAAACACAAACGCACTTGTGTGCTTAAGTGACCGTCAGTCCAGATTGATTCAAGATTAGCTAACGAGCGCAGGCTGTTCGTTTCCTGGTGCTGGCTTCCTGACAGCATCCTGCGGCTCATAGTAAGATGTGGACTGGCTCAGCCTGCTGCACAGTGGGAGTCCAGTTGCTATTGCCGGTCGATTGTGTTTATTTTAATGTGCTGCGTTGGTTGTGGTGCAGGATTTTGCTCCTGTCTGTCTTGTGGGTCATGATTTCTCAAGTATCGAGCCGTCGATGCCTGCAAAGCACCCCTCCCGTCAGAATGTTATAATTCATAGCTGACATGTAGCTCTTGTGCTCATCAGTGTACAGGCTCCCGTTGCACAGCTGTCCGGTCCATTTCAGGTTTTGCCGAAAGCTGCGCACTCCCGCACAACCTCCACAAGTCCGCCTACGTGCTCATTTCCTCCATGATAGTAGGTTTGTGAAATGCGGCTGCACCTGGTGTTGGCTTACAGGAAAGTGCCTGCCTGCAGCTCCCAGCAAAACCTGGAATGGATCACGCAGCTCTGCACTGGGAGAGGTGTTCCTCCAGCTGTCCGTCTGTTCTAGCGGGTGCTTTGTGCTGTGCTGCAGTGGAGGGGCTACAGCGTGCCACATGCCCACCTTGCAAGTTTGTGTGTGTGTGAGAGTGACAATGCATATGCCCTGATCTGCGTGGTGCTTCCTGTTTTGCACGGTGAATTTAACAGCCTCATCCAGTGAACCGGCTCGTGATTCAGTTTTCCCAGCGTTGATATATTGAACAAATTAGCCTAAATAGTCTGTTTATGTGCAGCTTAGAGTTAATGTATTCCTCATAGTGTTCAGGCAGGACCGGCACACAGCATAAGCAGAGCTCTCGCCTCCTGGAGTCTGGGCTGTACCGATGAACTGGCACAGCGGCAGTCCAGACACAGGCTGAGTTTCCATTAAGGGTCTTAAGATAGACCAGTGTCAGGCTATATTAATACTGCACAGATAACCTCCAGATAGTTCAATAATCCTTGTGTTTTACTGGGGATTGTCACATTCAGAGAGTTTGTCCATGCGATTGTGAATGCGCTGTTTGCTTGATTGTTAGAGGGTTGGAAGTAAGACTCCCACTGCACAGCAGTCTGAGCCGTTCCAGGTTTTACAAGCTGCGTGGCTCTTGTACATAAGCCAGTACCAGTTGCTGGAGATTTCGAGCTTGTTAACCATATGTGGGTTCATGTACGTACTGTACCTAGGCAGGCAATGTTAAAGTACTGCTAATACAGTACGGTACATACAGTATTTGCCCCTTTTGTTTTTTATCACAGCAAATCTGAGCTAGAGCCCTCAGCTTGTGAAAGCTGAACTGGGTCTAAGTGGTATGCAGTGGGAGTCTCACTCCCAGATGGGCTGGAAAACGTCTTGCGAATCCCAAGCGCTGTGACTCACCGGTGGCTGTTACGAGCCAGTGTGAATTCGGTGTTGTTAATGGAGCCCTGGTGAACTAGGGGTTACAGATTTAAAGGTTTTTAAGCATCAGCCATGTCATGGAGAGAAATGAAAGGACCTGGTGTGAGAGAGGAAAGGGTTTCCTTATGTCGCAGTGTTTTCACTCTGTATCGATTCTAATGAGGAGCAAAGCTGTTTTTTAACTCAAACGGTCATTTCGCTTGTTCACATCAGAAATGCCCGACACTCGTACACAGGAAAATTGCTGTATTGTCTTTTCCTGTGCGTTGTTTTTATATGGTCTTTTATGCCCTGAAACCAGATAATCGTGCAGCTCTAACTAGTGAACTCTAGTTTAAAGTGTGAACGTGTGCAGTTTCAGTCCGCCCTGTCGTCCGGTCTGGGAACAAGCTCGTGGGGAGGACTTTTCGGGTCCACAACAGAATGATCTCAAGAGAGTGCCAAACCGTCTTTCGTTTTGAAAGTCGAATTTGTTCCCTGGAAGTTGATTTTCCCACAGACGAACAAGCTCATTTTTTGTAGTAAACTTGTCTTTTCTTTGTGTGAGCTGTTCAGTCAAATCCCAGAAAATGACAGCTACGATCTGCTCTTCAAAATCAAAAGGCAGAAACGTCTAGATTAATTTATAATGATGAGATTTTAGATTTTGGAAAATATGTGCAAGATATAAGCAGATATCCTAATTGTTTTGAAGGCTTTATCTGGTTAATGAAATAATGCTAACATATGGTCTGTAGCTCCTTCAAAGCTGCCGTTTTCTGAAAACCATCAATGAGGGTGTTTTATAGAGAGCAGGTCTCAAACACCAGGTGTAGTGAAAGTAATTGTCAGGATAAAACATTCAGGACAAGTTGCTGATTCCCACCTTTCGGGAAAATCCCGGATGAGATTTTGGGATCATGTTCCTATTAACAGCCATTAACTAAGATGGACTTCATTGACTTAGACAGGCGCCTTCAGTGTCCTCTGATGGTGAAGAGAACCATCCCATCCCAGACTGCTTCCAATAGGATTATCTCTGCTGTTCTGTGTGCCTCCGCAGTTAGAATGAAGCACTTTACACCTCAGAGGACTCTGCTTCACATCGCAGTTTCACATCACATCCCAGCTGGGTGACACACAGCTGCCGTTCTGCACAGCAGATCCAGATCAGGGCGCAGGAGTGAGAAATTACTTCCCCAGCTGAATTCAGGGGGAGCTTTTAGGGTACCAGAAGTGCATTTATCAGGAACCCCTACTCTCACTCCCAGGAGCCGGAGTGAACACCCCTACCCTTATGAACAGTGTCATGGTATCTTCAATGATTATGTTGTCTAGTCAGGGCATCGGTTTAATGTCTCATTTGCAGGATATAGTCTCCTACAGCACAGTGTCACCCTATTTGAGCATTAGTTTGGGAATTCTGGTCCAGATGGAATAGTGCCACCTACTGGTGTACGTACACCACTTGCAATAGAAGCACGACTTTCTTGGAGGTCTTCCATCTGAGTACGAACCAGGCCCAGGCTGGCTTAGCTTCTGAGATCTGATGGGATCCGACTTCAGGGAGGTGCGGCCCATCCCACCTACTGTTAGATGAGACAGTGCTGTCTGCCACACCCAGCAGTGTTCAGACCCATAATTAATAATAATAATAATTACCTTCAAATAATAATAAAGACCCATGATGCTCTTTTGCTGCAGTACCGGCAGCTTCGAATCCTCTGTGGGCAGAAAAAAAACACAGAGCACACTTTCTCTCTTGGTGCAGAGCTGTGCAGTTCTGGCCCCTTGTCATCAGAGCAGAAGAGCTAGGCGCTGAAACGCTTAAAAAAAAATCCCAGCCTTCAGCACTTCCTTCTGATGTCTCAGCCAGCAGCAACTAGACAAGTTTAGGTTTGGAGGAATTGTCATATGGAGAAGCTTTACTGTGCTGCCATGGAATTAGACCATGATAATTCTGTAAAGGTTTTATCGTCTAATTTGATAAAAGACATTGGCCTTGTGCTGCCCTACACTTATGAACTGTTCCTACCAGAACTCAGTGTGCCAGATAGTCTGCAGTACAGCACAGGGCATGCTGGGAGTCCCGGGAGGGCATGCTGGGAACCAGCAGAAATGGGAAGAAGCTGGATGAAAAAGTCCTGCATGGTCTGGCCGATGGCTGGAAGTCTGAGCAGGGTCAGGTGTGAGTGAAGCCACGGTGGGGGGGTGGAGGGGTAATTCAGGGGGAGCTGTCTGGGCCTAGGGGGGCAGAATCGACTGGATTTCCGCCAGCGTATCTACACCTTCCGCAGTGGGGGGTGTAAACTGTAGGCATTTTTTGTGAACGTGCCCGTAAAAAAAAACAGCCAGTCCTGCACAGCGCTGGCAGAAAATCCTGCAGGACTTGCAGAAAGATTCTCGTGCCAGAAATCCTCACAGATTTTCCTGCAAGAAAATCAATCTGTTATTTTTCACGTTACCAAAAAAGAGACCTGAAAGATCGTCCCTGTGGAATTCCTGAGGGGATTCTACAGGATATTTTGCAGCAATCCTGCTGTGTTTGTGCATCTGTGTGTATGTGTGTGTGCATTGGTGCAGGAAGGCAGTGCTTTCTGTGTAGGAGATCTGTTTAACATGCCAGAGAGAGAGAGAGAGTGAGTGTGTGGGTGAGATACAGTAAGAGAGAGACCCTGCAAGTTAAATAAGTTCTTTTTTTTTTCAAATTGCAATAAGCCCAAG